ATAAGGCTATTGTGAAATTTAAACAATGAGGATTAATCTTGCAGTGTGGCGAGGATTCCCTGCTCTCCCAGCTTTACTCCGTGTTTGATCCCCATTAAATTGTACAGAATTGTGAATGTGGATCACTGCAAAATTAATTCCAGGAATTTGTATAGAAAAGTTCCCTTCTGATAGGAAACTGTTAATATTTATTCTTACCTGAAAACTGGTTCTTTTAAGGTATAAGTTGCTGATTTTTAAAATGTAAAACTACCAGTTACAGCATTTTCGGGCACTTTATTTCATATTTGCAAAGCTCAACCTTTTTACATGATATGAGTTCAACATCAGCATGATCCCGTCGAGTACGCGTTCTCAGTCCTATTGCTCTGCCTCCCCACCTCTTTTCACTCCAGCTGCTCTGTTCCAGAAGTTGCTGCCCTGATATGTGAGCACAGTTGTGATTGTGCTGTGATTTGGTTGACAACATGGCCTAACAGATTATTTCAGCACAACAGAAAAAAAAAAAAAAAAGCTGCATTATGGTAGGAGGGCAGGAGCTTGGTGGCAGAGGGGAAATTCCATAAAATGGCATTGCTGCAGAAACAAAAAAGAACTCATTTACATGTGGGGAAATAGCTTGTCTCTCTGGGACTGTCCCAAGGAAAGATAAATGTATACTCAGCCAAAGTATTGTACAAGTATGCTAGTTTTTCACCGATTCACAGATTAGGGTGCAGAAATCAGAGTTCAAACATGCACACTGGAGACATTCCTCCATTTCTTAGAAGCACCACATTGGGAGATACTTGATACATTTGTGAACAGCTGGTCTTCACTCTTCCATTCATCTGTGTCTAGTTTCATACTTCTTTTTTCCTGCGCTCTGGCTCCATCAGAGTTGTTTGCTGAAGTGCTGTGAGCACAAAATTGTTTGCATTGTAAGTAAAATGTTAAGGTTTAGGAGAAGCTTGAGAAAGATCTAATTAAACAAAGACTGGGACAGCACGGGAATAATTTAAATGTAACTGATAAATGATGAAAGGGATTGCAAGCAGAACGTATTCAGCAGGTGCATATGCGCATGAGTTTCTTGGGGAAGGATCTAGTGATCTTCACAAACAGTTGATTAAAAGTCTGTGTAGTTCAGAAAGAAGCATAGATCCTGATGTGCCCTGTCAGAGGAAAAGAAAGTAAGACTGAATGCAATGATAGTTATCTATAGAATCCAGTAGTACTTCTAGTGCCCTGTTGCATGGCCAGAACTGCAGCAATTCACAGCTTCTTGCTACTCTGCCTCAGCCACATCTGGCCATATGAATTGAAGCAGCTGGTCTAACCATGCTTATTTTCCCTTCTCTGCAAAATGGCATCTTGTAATTCCTGTTTTCAGAGAAAATGTGGTTTTATATGCTCTGCTGACAAATTTAAAAGATATTAACATTAATAAAAGGTCATTCTTTCACTAATTTTGTAATTCTCATTCTCAAGAAAATGAACAGCATAGGGAATGCATGTGTTGTATGGTTTTTAATGTTTTCCACAGATTGCCTTTTGAACAGATTATCCAACTCAGCGTCTGATGTTTGCTGTGTAAATAATGTGAGAACATGCAAATGGTGCATCTAAACAGAGCTTATTGTATATAGCATATTTGCATTGTGTAGTTGCAGATAACAATTTTTAGATAACTTTTGGAAATATTAATTAAATACTCGTGTCTTTTTAAGTGAGACATCACTAGTGCTCTTTCTTTGTTAACAGTATTATGTTCAGTTTCCTCTATGACTAAAACAAGTGTTATTGTGTGTCTCACGTCTTCCTTTCTTGAGAAGCAGCCAGGCGTGGGAGTAGACACACTTAGGAAACCCCCCATGTAAGTTCTGTGACTCCCTGTAGCCCACCGCTGTTGAGTACCCAAGCCTAAAATAAGATAAAATGCTCTTTAGTAAAGTTGCATCAGGCAAGGGAATGTGCAGAACAGAAATTATTTTTGCTTTCAGAAGATAAAAATAATTTTATCTTCTGTGTTTTAGTTGTGAAGGTTAATCTTTGTGGTAAGAGGAGGTGGGACAGTGTGCTCTGACGCAAGCAGGAGTTTCTAAATTTTTTTAATGGTGATTCCCGTTATTTTTATTGCAATTTAAGCCTGTTTTGCGTTTTTCCATTGCAAAACTGTAGCTAGTTTATACCAACCCCTCAATTATTTTTTTCTCCCAGAAGCACTTCATAGTAGAGAACCTCATATGCTAATAATATGTAGGAGAAGAAAAGTCCATATGACTAATAGGTACAAAGTGCCACTAGTTGTAACCTTCAGAAAGACTGGCTTAAGGGAGTTGGATCCAAGCCAGTTAAATTTTTTATAAACTTGAGAATAGCCCATATTGACTAATTTGTATCTGGAAAACCAGCTGCTTTTGTGTTAAGTGCAATTAAAAGGTGTTTCCTTTTTTTGGCGGGGGGTAAACTCCAGCAGTTCAAATACTGGCAATTCTTTATTGGCTGCAGTACCACTAGTGCAGCTGTGTTCCTGAGACTCTTTCACTCATAGTCTGCTTTTAGGAGTTGTTTCTTCTGTTGTCCCATCAGGATGCTCTTGCAGTCAAATTTTTTTATGACCTTATGGAATCAGTGTCTGTAGTGACCTTTGAAAATCTGTTGAACTTTTTTCCACATGACTTTCCACTAACCTTCTTTTAACATAGCAAAACATTAGGCAAGAAGAGAAAGTATTTTCATTTGGAATTTTTAAGAGGTTGCTTAAGTTACTCATGGGTCATATTTCTTCACTGTTGACTTCTCTGCACTAAAACGTGTATGAATGTAGTAGGTACATTCCTAACTTTTACTAAGTTTAGTGAACTCAGCTTAACAAACTTAATTCTCCTTTGGTATTTGTATCCAATGATTTTGCAGAACTGGGGCAGTGCATGAGAACCAGAAAATAAAAATTACTAAACAAGTAAAATTAATGAGTCAGTTTTTACTGCCCAGATGAGACATTCCAAAAAGAAGTGTTTTAATAACCTTATAATTTAATAATCAAATAAACTATGTGACACAGATGAGAAGATACATTATTACTTAATATAGTTACTTTGAAAGTCTTCCAGTAATATAAAAATGGTGGCTTTTGTTTGTATCTTTCAATTCAGTGTTCCACTAAGAATTCTGAAACGTATCTCCAAAGATTCAGGGCACGCAACGGAGAGAATGCCAGTGTTATTTTTATCTCCTGTTTTACGGGCAGAAAATACTGCATTTGGCCTTTTCCCGCTCACATGATGTCCTGTTTGTTTTCAGGGAAAAGTAGATTGTATGCATGCAGGGAAATAGCCGATGTCTGGCATGATCTCATGGAAGCAGGAAGTCAGTTCTGATAGGTGCTTTGCATTAGCACCAAGATCCTATGGCGTCGTGAAAACAGTCTTCAGTCCCTCAGAGTCGATGTTGGTAGCAGCAGCTTATAGGTCAACAGTTAACACAAAAAAATCTTCGGGCCTCCTCTCTCAAGGCTCAGATCCAGATTCCTGGCGTACTTAATTTGCTCCACCTGCAGGTCCTTTGCTGAGAGGGATAGTCCCACACTTCCTGTCCTCGTCGCCTCCAGTGGTGTGCTCCCATCAGTCCTCGCTTTTACTCAAGTCAATCAGCTGTGTGGCTGCAAGCTCAACCCTGCAAAAAAAAAAAATTCTCTTGTTGGATCAGTGAGCTCGTGGGTAGTTGTGACATTGTTAGATCTGATGCAACAGAAGTAGTGGGGTTGTGCAGCTGGAGAGAGGACTGAGTGGGACCACCTCTTTCCACTGCTATTTGCAGGTAGATCAAACTAAATGCATTGTAAAATTGTACCCAAGAATTAGAAGAACAATTATTTCTAGCCCTTGAAACAAAAGGTCATGATACCAAATAATGATAAGGATCACAAATAGGAGGGAAAGGAGGGAAAGGAGGGAAAAGAGAAAGAGAAAAGCAGTTGGAGCTATTACATCGAGAAGAGATAACAGGGAAGAGGGAAGTAGTTAGAAAAGCAGGAAGAAGGATTAGAGAAAAATGCAGAGATTGTATATTGACAAATAGTGGCAGCAAATGCAGGTAAAAAATAGGAAACACCTTTCCCTGGAGGTTGAGCATACTGTCCTCGGCCTTCAAACATGATCCCACAGTCTCAAGAAACAGTTCTTCCCTCTTTCTGGGCAGCACTGAAATGCCATTGCTTTGTGAGCAGTCCACAGTAACAACCTGGATGCTGAAAGCCAGAACCCTTGTCCTCCGTGAGCTCCGTCTGGGTGAGGTGGGGAGGGAAAGCCACAGGCACAAGTGCCAGTCCTGAGAAGCATTTATTGCTGAACGGGCACAGCCCTAAGAGGCTGGTGAAAAGTCCCTCTGAAGAGAAGCTGGCATAGCAGTGAATTTGCCACCTGAGGATGTTGGTTCATAAGTGAGAGGCAAGTCTGGATGTGGCTTTCATAAACCCTGAATCCTGAGGTCACAAGATTTCATTTTACTGCTGCTTGCTTCTTCCCCGCAGGGTAGCCCAGATCACTTGTAGTTCTCTAATTTCGACAATAGGTGGGGCTGGAAAAGCAGTATAGGTTAGGGTTCAGTCCTTTAATACCAATAAAGGTTTCAGCGCTGAATCATTTCCAAAAGTAGGTATTATTTAAATCCCAGTGTGATTCAGTTCCCTCAGCTGACTCTGAACTTCTGAAATCTCCATACAACTCTTCCTGAGTTCATTCATGTCATTAAAGCTGCAAGACATGGGAAAGTTTTATAATAGCAATGTATTTTCTGTGTATTTGAGAACAGCTTCCTACAATTAATTGTTTTGGATTTTTTTCTTTGTCATTAGAAAATTAAATTAGTTATCTGCTTAATTCATATTGCAGTTCAGAACTGTGGGGAAATGAGGGTATGCTACAAGTCCCACTAGTTGAGACACAGATGGGAAAGTGTTTCCTGTCAGTCTGTTTTTACAGGTCAGAAAATCCTTGGTTTTGCTTTGTTTTCTGCAGCTATTTGATGCTGTCAACTGCCTGGCAAAAGACAATGCCCGGTTGCTTGTGCTCGGCCGCAAACACATGCTGATTAATTCTTCCAATTGGAAAAGAGAGATTATGAAGGAGATGCAGAATAAGGCAGACTTCTTCTTTGCTGAAAATATGTAAGTTTAAGAAAATGGCTAAGTGGATTGGAGATCAACACCTGATTTATGTGCATTTTAAATCAGTATAAACTGCTGTAGTTTTTAGTACCGTTACTAGTATCTCCAACTCTGTGTGTGTGAAAGAGAAACATATCCCTTGCTATAGTTGCTTCAAAAACCAATACATATTAAAAGTTGTATTATGAAGAATTTCATCATTTAGAATCATGTTGACATCTGTATGGTTTATTAGGATTTATAACTGTTAAAACCACTGCCAAGACCACAGTGGCCTGAACTTACAGAATGCCTGATAGCATCAGAGTACAGTTGTGGTCTGCTGTGTTAGCTCTGCATGGGGAGAGATGAATTTTGTGCCTGGCCAGTGTTACTTGGTAGCCCAGGAGTGTGGAGAGTCTGGAGCGCTGACTCCCTTGCTGCTCCCAGAGGAGAATATTTCTATGAGTGGAAACAGACCCTCTGCCTCTCTAAGAAGTGTGATCCCCTTGCGCTTGCCCATTATACTTGCATACATTATACTTTGTTATCACTTGTGATGACTGTTTGTATTCCAACAAAGTTTTGGGCATACCCTTATGAGTTTTAGCAGTTCTGTTCCACATAGCACTGTTATGTGCCACAAGATTATATTGTTGTATTATCAGATTGTGATAGGAGGGAAGAATGCTCTGTGTAGCATGCAATTATTTTTTATTGCACTCTAACTTTTGGTGCCCTGTGGTAGGCAGAAATTCTTTTATTTTACCAGGGATCTAGAGTAGTGATGGGAATTTTCAGTGTTGTTGATGAATAAATCTCAGATCAGCATTTGATTCATTTCCTGCAGCCACTTACTGCCTTGTGAATGACGTCTGTCTTTTCCATTCATTTTGTCAAGCTCTGAAGATGATGCCTTCTTGTTATACGCCACTCTTCGATCGGGCAAGCATTGCAAGTTTGTTACTAGAGACTTCCTCCGGGATCACAAGGCTTGCCTTTCCGACAGTCTGACACGTCATCTGTTCCGTAAGTGGCAGCGTGGACACCAAATAGAGTTTTCCCCTTCTGTAGAAGGAAAGCGTATAAATTTTTTGGTAAGTTTTCTGCTGCAATCAGAAAGCACACAGAGCATATTCATTAAAGATACACAATTTCAAACTCCGGAAGCAAAAGATTCTTACTGGAATCTAAAAAATGTATTCGTACCAATGGGCCCATGCTTACTGAAAATTCACAGTATTCACAAAGCATGCCACAAACATGGAAACTGTCAAAAAGACAAGAAATGCTGCCTCAGTGTTTAAAATGTAAATGTAAATGCATGTTTGTATATCCAAATCTTTCCATTGATGTAAAATGTAAGTGCCAATATTTTTTCATTTATTTTAAACTTTGAAGTACTTTATTCTCCTCTGTAGCACTATTATAGAATACCATGCTTCTAATTGTACAATAGAACTTCTTTCATCTTTATTTTAAAGAAGTAGGAAAATACAGGTATGTCAGTATTTGCTGTAATATTAGCCTAACATATGTATAAAGTTCATGAAGGAAGTATTCAGCCGCAGAAATTACAATCTTCCAAGCACAGTATCATTTTACAGCAGAATACTGTTATTGTCTAGGAGACATGTATCCTTGTGAGCCATGAGCAGTACATTAACAGGACTGCAGCTGTTTTAAGATTTTTCTAGGAAAAAATTCATCACATGACATTCCATATCATGCAGTTTTTTGTTATGTGGTCTGTCTGCACATGACATTCCATATCATGCAGTTTTTTGTTACGTGGTCTGTCTGCATTGTTATTGCCCACTTAAAGGAATACTGCACCTATGCAGATTCATTTTGTTGCTGCTCTAGTTAAAATTGTAAAATAATACTCATCATTACAAACAGACCATAGAGATGCAGTCTTATACGAACGACAGCCTTTCATTCTGTGTTGCTATCTATACATTTCTTTTTATGGAACCAAATACTGAATGTAGGGTTACCTGAGTAACACGGCTTTAGCTACACCTTGTTTCTTTCTTTAGTAGGAAAGGGCTAGTAATTTTCACATCTTCATTCCCATACAAGTGATTTGGATATGGACATTCCCAGTCATAGCTGTCTTCTAGGTTATTCTGGAAGCTGTTGCAGGAAAGTAAACTTCCAAGACTATAGATACAGAGTGATAGTATGTTCTGAGAACCGTAATTGCCAACCAGTAATGTTTCTTTCATATTTGTGTTATAAACGTTGAGTTAGTATACCTGTAACATCTTAGACCAGAAAATAGTTTATTATATTTTGACTAGACGCTCTTGAAAGTGTTTGTGATAAACCATTTTTGTTACATCCTCCTCAGCACAGAGCAAGTCAGTTCAGCAAAGAGGTACACTGGAAGAACAAACACAAGATGTCATTAATGTCATTAAATCCTATCAGTTCAAGCCTATAAACTCCACATCCTGAGTTAATTCCCATATGATTTCATTTGACTGAAAGAAAAAACAATCATTTTGCTATTTCTAGAAATTGAGTGCATTATGTTCAAATCATTATTATCTGGTGGAGGTTGAAGACAGAATTTTAACCATTTATAATGACTCCTAGACCACAAAATACTGAAAGATGTTTTAGTTTTTCCTCCAGTACTAAAATTTAGAATTTGTTTGGTGTAAGGAAATAAATGAGAGTTGTTAAAGAGATCAATCTATGGAGATTTCTAAGGTAAGTGTTGGAAGTTATAACTACCTATAACTGTTATTTTAGTAATATATTGTGTAAAGTCTAAAAAAAATGTTTTTATCTGTCTTTATCCAACAGCCTGCTTTCCGTTATGACTGTGTGGTACAGACTACAGGTGATACATGGCACATCCCCTATAAAGACACTTTTGAGGAAAAATATTCATATCGAGTACCAAGAAAATGGCTCTGCATTCAACAGAAATGATGAAGAATGTAATTGGACAAGCTGAAGCTACTTTTTCTTTTTTAATCACTGTTGCTGACTAGGAGAACTCAGCAGTACAATTATGGGATTAATGTGTGAGGCCTATAACTAAAGGAAAGTCAGTAACTGTGTTTTGTCAAAATCATTCCTGCAGTAAAGCTGTTAACATCAATGGTGGTCTGGCAGGGATGAATTAGGTCCGTTATTTCCATCTTTACAGGCAAATTCTGTAGCCTCTCAATGTGTTTTGAATTAAAACTTGTTTTTCCCTCTTGGAAATTCAGGTTGTGGTTTTGATCTTTTTTTTCTCTCAAGCTTTTAATCTACACTGAAATTCATAAAATTTGTACTTCAAAGAAATTGAGCGAGGCTTCCAAACTACCTTCAAAATGGGCATGGCTGACCTTGCAACAGTGTCACACAGTGTCATTCGCCATTAAATGGAGCTAACGGGGCCAAATGGTATGTTTACCGTTTGCAGACACGCACAGCCTTAATACTTCGTCATACTAACTAGAATTCATTTGATCACATAGAATGCAAAAGATTTGTTGTAGCAACATATATTAAGATTTTTGATTGGAAGAATTAGGAAACAACCAGTGTGCCTCTTTCACACTCTTAAATTTGCTGTTTCTGACAGGGTTTCATGGCACTAGAACATAACTAGAAATTCTTACAGGTAGTAATAGGATAAAACTGAATTTTGTACAGATATTTTTATAAAACCTATCCCAAGTTATAAATAAGAAAAATAGTGTACATCATTACAGGAAAGGTGTTCTAAGTTATTATTTCTAAGTGTTTGTATGGTAAATGTGTTCATTTATTGCACTTACCACTTTAATGCAAACTTTTCTCCCCAAAAACATGGAAATGCCACATTAATCTCAGATGAATCATGTTTTTGTGACATTTGTCTTGCACACTGAAAAATCCTCAGTTTGAAGTCTGAATCATACAGATTTTTTTGTATAGTATTTGCAGTTCTGAGCTGCTGCAGTGTCCCATGACAAGCTGCCTCAAGACTCTTAGCATTCAAGCATGTTCCCTGCTGTTTTTTTCACATCAGCGAGCTATCCTGACATGTTTTCTGCTCCTGGTTTGTAAAACAGCAGGTGTAATTTCCATGCATTCATGTCCTTCAGGTACTGTGCAGAAGGTGTAGAGGAGCGAGATACCTCTAAGGTAACCTAGAACCGTGGTTTTAAATTCATCGTGATGTTGGTAGCATTCATCATGCCAGTTCCTATGTGCCATCTGCTTTCTGGAGTCTGCCAGGGGAAAGCAGAGAGATTGCATATTCTTCTCTCACTCCTCAAACCGATTTACTTCTAATTTGTCCGAAGATTGTTTTTACAATTCTCTAAGTCAGAGAACTGCCACACCTCCTTGAAAATGCTGCATTGGGTCTGGCTGAGATAGAGTTAATCTTCCCCTCAGCAGCCCTCACAGTGCTGCGCTGTGTATTGGTAGCGAGCAAGGTGTTGGTAACACACCAGGGTTTTGGCTCCTGCTGAGCCGTCCTGGCACAGCACCGAGAGCCTCTCACCAAGGGGGTGGGCAAGATCTTGGGAGGGGACACAGCCAGGACAGCTGACCCTAACTGACCAAAGGGATATTCCATGCCATGTGATGTCTGCTCAGCAACAAAAAGCTGAGAGAAAGGAGGAGGAAAGAGGGGGCATTCGTTATTTGCAGTGTTTGTCTTCCGGAGTAACCGCTATGTACTGAAACCCTGCTTCCCGGGAAGTGGCTGGTCATTGCCTGCAGATGGGAAGTAGAGAATAAATCTTTTGTTCTTCCTTTGCTTCCACACATGACCTTTGCTTTTGCTTTATTCAACTGCCTTTATCTTGACCCACAAGGTCTTTTCCCATCTTATTTTCTCTCCCCTGCCCTGCAGAGGAGGGGAGTGATAAGAGCAGCTTGGTGGGCACCTGGCCTCCAGCCAGAGTCAACCCACCATAACACAAAGGTAGTTATATTGTTAAAGTGTCTTCCCCTGTACAGGACTGCTTAGTTAGCAGCTGTTGCTCTGTAGTTCTGCAGCAGCACAAGCTGATCTGAATCAGCACTGTTACAGTCCCAGGTTGGGACTAGCTCTGGTGGTCATGCGGTCCTAAGCAATTCAGAGTTGGGTCAGTTGGGTCAGCTGAATGCAAACCCCTTAAAACATTTGCTTTGGCTAGGTCAAAACTGGCGTTGTTGTATGGAACTAGCACCATTGCACATGTACTGGTTCCTGTGTGGGAGGGGGGCTGAAATGTCAGCCTGCAGAAGGTGAGCCCCTGCAGCTCTGCCTTGGATTGGCATTAGCTGACCAGAAACTGCACCTTCAGGTTATCTGTTTCCTTGCAAGGCGTGTTCATCCACTGGAGTTTGTATTTTACCTCACCCTGGTCATTAACACACATGCAAAATATCAACATCTAACTGGAATAAATGCATCCTGGACTTCCTTTTGACTGAGAACAGACGTGTCCCTCATCAATCACACTTCCTACCTACACATTCTTAGTGTATTTAGGGGAAGGTGGAACAGAATCTGGAATTTACAACAGGAAGATGTCCCAACATAGGTACCAGAATTGTTGTGACTTTTTTTTTTCCCTTATGTTTGCTGCTAATACACTTTACTGTAGATCCTTATAGAGAATTAATGGTCGCCTCTCTCTGGAACCAGAGAGGAAACATTAGTGATCAACATACAGACTTTTTCAATTGCATTCCGCCTGTTCATACAGATCTACAGAGTCTCCAGAAGCTCAGTTCTGTCTGAGGTTAATTCTTTGCATTTTCTTGAAGATATTTGTGAAGTAACATTGCTTTTGTTTTGCTGTAAGTCTGGAAACGTCAGATACTGAAAAAGGGAATTTAGAGATAACAATGAATATGAGGATTTGCTTCCAAGTATGTAAAAGGAATTTGGGGGGGTAAAGGGGGTTCATTGACAATAAACCCGAGAGCCAAACCAAAGCAACCTACCAGCAGATCTACTTGAGATCTACTATTTGTTAGTACAGTAAAAATCTAAGGATTTTTAATGTCTGTCTGGTAGTAGTTTATTCAATTGATGCGTCCACGCTGAATGCCAGAAAGGCAGGTCCTCCAAAAGTTGCAGGAACTGCATTGGCAAGATGGACTTGAGGAAGGCTGAACTGATTCAGCCTGTGTTATAGCTACTTTGTGAATGGCTTCGTCTCCAAGATCACCTGCTTATTGTTCACTACATTACAAATATGTCAGTAAGAACAGTCTTCCTCCAGATCTGGCAACACAGACTTTGATTCTTATGTGGTTGATCTGATGTGATGAACACTAAACCAAAACGCAGTTGCTCTTCTGGAACAAAACTGTATGTTGGAAACTGAGAAAATTGCTACATAGATGGTGAAACCTTCTGGAAACTCTTCTCCTGAAAGTAGCATGACTTCCACTCCATTGTGTCTGTGGTATTGAGTAACTATTACTCTTTCCTTGGTCCAAGTCAAATATTGAATCTTTCATTCCAAACACTTAAGGATTTTCTCAATTGCTTACTTTTTGGCTATCAAGCTGAATGCTTGAAAATTACTTCCATTTTCCCATCCCCTTTTTCTCATGAGAAAAAAAAATCTGGCATTAAACTCCACTGTTACAGAATGGAAGAGCTTTGTACGTGGAAGGACTCTGAGGGTGGGAATCCTCAGCCTGGAGAAACAGAGGTCTTAAGAGACACAGAGATCGTAAGAATTGTGAGTGTTGTGGAGGGGATGCGTAGGGATCAATGGCTTGCCGTCTCTGCCAGTACAAATGGTGCTGGCAGGCAAAAGGTTCAGATGAAAGGCAAGGGTTCAGATGAAACCACACAACACGTCATGCTGAGCGACTCTTTGCCACGGGTGTGTCATGGATGCAAGAAGTCCCTGTGAGTTCAAAGGGAGACCAGCAAGTTCATGAAAGAGCAATCCAGCAAGGGTTATTAAATAACCAGACACTATCTGTCTTGGGAAGTCCCTCCTGAGGGCTGGAGACTGGGAGGGGATGCAGGGACTGTCATTAAGGTGTTAAAGGAGGAGCTGCTGCCCGAGCGTTCATACACCATTCATGGTGTTGTGCATGCACACACTTATTCTTGGGTGTGCTTCCTCCTTCTTCAGGCTTGACCCTAGGTTTCCCACAGCAGAGTCTCAGGTGTTGGATTTTATAAAATAATTTAATTGAAAGGTGCAGCAGCAGGAACAGCCTGGGCTGGGCACTTCCAAAGAGGGGGACCCCGAACAAAGAAATCTCTGGGCAACTATACCCTTGTGATCCATACACCTGTGCTTCACGTGCTGTCCACGTGTCTTGTAGTGCAGTGGTGATTTTTGCTCTGGGGTCTTCTAACATCTAATGGGATTCTTTTTCTGTGTCCAGGCAGGCAGGCTCTTATCTTGTTGATTTGCAGTTTCAGCCGAAGGTTGGAGCCTCCTTATCTTCTGGTTTACACTCCTTGTGCACCTGCCCTTGCTGGCAGAACACAGAGCTGGAGTCCCAGACTTGGGAAAAACACTACCAAAACATTCGTGTGGTATCAAAATACTTTCCCATACTAAAAGACTAAACACAGCACTGTCCCACCTGCTAGGAAAATTACTAAGAAAAATAACTCTATTGCAGCCTGAAGACTTCAGCAAATCTACTCACACTAAGTAAAGCTAAGCAAACTGCACAAATCACACCCTATTATAATCCTAAGTAATTTATTCTAATTAAAACTTACTTATTTACGTTAAACAACTAATATCCCTCCACAAAAGGTTCTTGATACTTCTCCTTGGGCACCTACTTTTGGCCACAGTTGGAGACGGGGCATTGGGCTGGACAAGAGTCTGTGTCTGACCCAGGAGAGACGTTCTTACGTCCTCACGTGCTCTGTGTCCCAGTGCTTGCATCACAGCTTCAAACAGCTCACGGCTGCCCACAAAGCGCTGCCCTAATGAACGGCACAAACTCTGTGTCCTGTAATACCTAGCGAGGCATTTTATTCTCTCATAGTATTAATAAGCAAGGAAAAGTGTATCGAAAAATTCAAGAAAGCAGACTTTTAGCGTATGGCATACACAAAATGCACCCGTAGTCTGCTATTTCAACAAAGAGTAAACTCATCTAATAATAATATTTTTAAATAGAGGTGTGGATACCAAAACACAGCTTTTCCAACTCTTTTAATGACCGACTTTAAAAAAAAAAAAAAACAAAAAACATTCCACGAAGAGTAGGGGAAATCCAAGATGCTGAAAGGCAAA